AAACACGCCAAGTTGTTAAATACATATGTACCAGGCATATAAAGTTCCAAAACATATAAATCTGAATATACAGTCTAGGAAAATATACATGTAATAAAACTATAAAGAGAAGCATGGGAATCATAAAAAAAAAATATTAAGTACAGTAGTTACTCCTCAAAAAAGAGAGGGCAATTCAATCAGAAGAACATATCTGTAAGTGTACACAGAAGACTTAAAAGATAGTGGGCAATCCTCGATTTGTTAATGTAAATTTAAAAATATAGATCTTGATTTTAATTTTTTTCTAACATTTAACATTTGTAGTATCTGAAAAAAAATCTATAAATTTTTATATTCTGTGCATAGTAATTAAAACTATTTGAGCCAGGTGTGGTGGTACATGCCTGTAATCCCAGTGGCACAGGAGGCTGAGGCAAGAAGATCACAAGTTTGAGGCCAGCTTCAGCAACTCAGTGAATAAAAATTCAGTGAATAAAAACAGGACTGGAGATCAGTGGTAAAATGCCCCTGGCTTCAATTCCCAGTTACCCACCCCCAACCCACACACATACAAAAAAGCTACATGAATAAAAATCCAAAGATATAAAAAATGAATTTTATATTAGGGCAATGGGATAGGGGTGATATATCCTTATAATATTTTATTTACTATCTCTTATAATGCTTTCCCCCTGGGGTGCTCTACCACTGAGCTTCATTTCCAGCCTTATATTTTTATTGAGACAGCATCTTACTAAGTTACCTAGGCTGCCCCTGAATTGGCCATCCTCCTGCCTCAGCCTCCCAAGTATCTGGGTTTACAGGTGTGTATCACCAACACATTAAGGCAAATACCCACCTGATCACTAAGTAAAAGCTGATTTCCTCCTTGATACAAAACATCACAAAGCACGTCAACATTATTATTCAATTTGGACAGAAATAAAAAATGCTCTTGAGCAGTTATTGCCAACTGATCTTGTACTAGAGATACATCCTGTTTCAATTTCTCAGCTGCTTCCTCCAGGTTTCCATGGGTTACAAACAATTCTCTTTTTTTATTTTCTCCCTCTAAAAGTTGATAAAGCCTAAAATGTAAAAATGAAAATTACAGGAGAAGATTCTTAAATTAGCATAGTTCTCAAAATTATAATTCATTACATTAGGACATTTGCAGAATAGCTGAGTAAAAACTAAATAATATTAACTTGTGAGCTAAAAATCAAGCAACTAAAATCATTCAACTCTTATACCATTCCAGTACAGAAGCTTATATTCAAACTATTGCATCTGAAGTCTGTTTTTCCATCTTCCAAGTTTTAAAGATAAAATTTGTCTGAACTTTAAATACTATTAACCCACTTCAAACAAACTATGTTTTAGTGATACATTTCTTTCACAGAAAACATCTATGATGCAGTAGCATCAGCAGTGAATTTTGAAACAGAAGACCTAGGTCTGAGTTCTTTATTATATGAGACTCAGGGCAAATCAATCTCTTGAGATTTAACTTCTGTATCTCAATACCTATTTTACAGGATTGCAATGGGATTAAGAGAAAAAAACTAAAAATGTAAATGATGTTAAAATGCAAAAAATAAAGGACTACAAACAACAAGCTTACTACTTCAATTTGTATTTGGTTGATAAATTAAAATCTGATGAGCACCGAGACCACTTTAACACTTACAACACTGATAGCAGAAAAATCCATCATTCTATAGGGCAAATAAAAAAATCTGAGGCAATACCTTCCACACATATCTGACAAAAAGGATCTGCTCTTTCTCTTAAAAATAAATGCATGTTGGGGCTGAGGATATAGCTCAGTTGGTAGAGTGCTTGCCTTGCATGCAGAAGGCCCTGGGTTCAATCCTCAGCACCACCAAAATAAATAAATAAATAAATTTGATATTAGGGTCCAGTTTCATTTTTTAAAATAAATAAATAAATTGTGTGTGTTTTTAAGTTGTATTGGACTTTTTAAAACTGGCTGAAGTCCAAGGCTGCCAATTATGATCCTGTGGGATATAACAATTTTAGGAGGCATCATTCACATAGATCATGACATCGATGACTCCCCAAAATTGTACAATAAAGTAGTGCTAAGTTCTATTCATGTTCTTTTTTTGGTTGTTGTCATCAATGGACCTTTATTTTATTTATTTATATGTGGTGCTGAGAATCGAATCCAGTGCCCCACACATGTAAGGAAAGCTCTCTACCACTGAGCCACAATCCAGCCCTCATGTCCCTTAATTTTATTAACAAGAAAACAGCTAGGGATATAGCTCAGTGGCAGAGCACTTGACCTAGCATGAGCAAGGCCCTGGGTTCAATCCAGGGCCTTGCATTAAAAGAGAAAAAAAAAAGATTAGATGATTTTACTTTAGTCCTGGAAAAAAATTCAAGAGTAGAATCATCCAGAGTTTTGAAATACTACTGAATCCTCCAATTTCGGTATCCCAGTACTCTCAACTGCTTAAATATACAGAAAATTCTCAATGATCCACCTGACCAGATACAGAAATAAAATCTTTTCCCCAACTCCACTGCCACCTTTTCAAAATGCAGTCAGTCCCCTGCCTAGCAATACCTATGATTCCAAGCTATATTTGAACTTCCTGCCCCAAATCCAAAATGAGGTATCTATAATGGTGCCTAAACAGGAGTCAAAACTTGTATCTTATTCACTCCTCCAATTCATCCAATTCAACTTTTTAGTTGCATTCAGATCTAACATGAATGGAAAGGGAGAAAAAAAATAAATAAAACAGGGAAAAGAAGCCTGTAAAAAAAAAAAAAGAGAATAAAGGTCAAAAATAAAGTATAAACAATTTTTTAAACTTCTATAACTTTAGTTCAAACTCTCTCAAGAATTTCCCAAATACAACAAAAAAATTACTTAGGAAGAAACCAAATGCACATACCTATGAGTAGAATAATCCTTGGTATCAATGGTATTCCTTGGATTTATCTGCTGAAAGACTGATGGATCTGTTAACATTTCTAATCTCTGGTAGAGCATCATGTTACTTTGACTAAGTTCTTGAACCAGGTTTTCAAGTTGACGATACATGTCCCAATGTTTCCTTAATTCAAGTTCATATGATAACTGTACAAGTTCAAATGATGCCTTTTGTTTTATCAACTGGTTTAAAACTAACTCTTGTCTTGCTGTGTAATAATCTTGTTTAGCAATCTGCAGATCAAAATCTCCCTTTACAACTGGCATATTCAATAACTGGGCATTCTCTTTTACCACAGCAGGCAAAGTCTTATCTTTTATATGAGTGATTTGTTCTTCAAGTTTCAAAATCTCACTGTTCAAGCCAGAAATTTTAGCATCCAAATTTTCTTTGCCAACAGCCTACACACACACACACACACACACAAAAAAAAAAAAAAGCAATTACATTTAAAACTGTAGGTTTAAACAAAATAGTTTTTAAAGATTATTTTCACTTTCTATTTGAGGTGATAATAAGCTCAATGAATAGAAACTAATTTCCTATTAGTATAAGCCAAAATTACAGCTTAAAAAGGAAAAATATGGACTGAGTAAGGCCAATATGAATTACTAAACTTTAATGCTATTATATATACACATACACATGCGCGCTTGTGTACACACACACACACACTCTCACTCATGACTACCAAAATAAGATCTCATCATGCTTGTTTTACTTAATCAAAAACATAATTACCACACTATTCACTGAATGCAAGTAGGTATTCTCAGCTAATTTTAGCACAGAACTCAATAATTTCTTTATTATGCCAAAGTTTGTCAGTTATAGTAACTCACCATGTTAGTATTCAGATTCAAAAAAGTTACATTTTTACCCAACAATCTAGTGGTTACATTACTAAACAAGCTTCTCAAAACTACATATAGAAAGCTACAATATATGTATACATTCTCAACAAGGAAGCAGGAATTCAGTCCATAGAACCTGGAGCTCCGATTTCCTTACCATCATGCTCTGGTCAGAACAAACAGGAGAATATCCAGAATTAAGACATTAATTAAGATATTAATTTCCCATCATAAAAAGGGAATTTGAGTTCAGCCTATATCTGAATTAAACAAATTTTAGATTCATAATGCAAAACATTTTTTTTAAACTAGGTAATGTGGTTGGGATTATGATTATTTCTTCCCTTTTTTAATATGAGCTAATTGTGCAAAACACTGACACATATCACAAATAAGCATTAAACAGAGAAAATTAAAAGTTATAATTTCTTTATATGTCCTTTCTGAAGGACATATAAAGAAATTATAATAATTTAATAATAATATTAAATCCTGTATTCCTAACAATTATGATATGAATCCAGTTAGTTTACCTTGCTGGTTAGGTTATGAAGATTCTCCTCTGTCCATTTTATGCTAGACTTCATGCTCGAATTATTTGCTTTCAAGTTAATCAACTGATGTTGAGCACAGATATATGCTAGCTGCAGCCTGGCCATCTCTAGTCGTCTCTCTTCAAGGATTTCTTGATTATCACAAATAGATGGAGTGTGTATATCTAATAGCTGAAAATTTTCTTCATTTGAACTTTCAACTACTTCATGTATACCCTGAAAGAACTGCTTTTTGGTATACAAGGTTAATGCTGCTGTGCTTTGCTCTTCTTGGCTTAGATATTTTTCCAAGGAAAACTGAGATAAAAACACCATTGGATTTGTTCCTTGACCTAAATTAGAATGTCTAAAGAACATCATCAATTTAGTAACTCCATCAGTGAGAGCCTGAAGTTCATTACTGAGCTTAGTATTCACAGAACTTAGAATTCCTTGACTTTGCTTCAGCTTTTTAGTGGATTCTTCTTTTTTAGCATTCAATCTCAGAGATTTGTGGCTACTTACGGAAGCCATCAACTGGTATTTATTACGTCGTTGCATTTTTAAGTTTTTTAATCTCTGAAGAATTTGAACCTCATCCTCTAATTTCTCTAGTTCTTTGTCATCCAGTTTAGGTGTCTTCAAATCAGAAGTTTTGCAGGTTTTAAGAACTTCATCCAATGCTGACCCTTCTAGGATGGGTTTGCCTGATTTTTGAAGAATGCTAAAAGCTTCCAATTCTTTTTCAGACAATACATTATGTTCATTCACATTCCCACAAAACCATTTCAAAAATGATTCATCTTCAGCATTTTCAAATAGCCAGTCAAAATCTTCTCCATTAAGAATATCAGCTTTGGGATAACCAATTTTTTTTAATGTCTCCACAAACTCATTCCCAGAACTCATAGTTTACTACCCTAGTTTTATGTATTTGATATGGCTTTATGGTGCTCTATTTATAAAAAATAAATCCAAGTAGAAACAAAACCAATTTTTACTTAAGTCCATAGAGAAGGGGGAAAATATTTTTAGAATCTACTGTGATTCTTCCTAGGGGGGAAGAAAATAAGTATTAGACCCCAAATAAGGCAAATGATTTTTTAAAAAATACAGATTAAACAGGATATGGTATCTGGAAGCCAGTAAACCAAAAGGTAGTAGCAGCTACAAGGTTTGATGAAGATAAAGTAAAACAAAAACAATTAGGGTATTTCTTAGAAAATGAAACCAGTAATGAAAACTTAATTAATAATAAAACCTATTTTTCCCCCAAGATAAAATGGTTTTATATAGTGATTTTTAAATCCAAAATGAGTGTATACAAACAAATCCAGCCACCATGTGGCTAAGTAGACTCTATTCCATGCACTCTCTATGTAAGAAAATTTAAAGAAAAAAAAGGCAATCTCTGGGGAGGAATCAACTATTTACCTCAATGAGTGAATAAGCATTCACCAAGCTGGCAAGAATCAATTTCCAGGTCTGATCAACCTAGTTCAGAGAACACCAGGCTTCAGGTTTTAGAACCCCTCTCAACTTGAAAAGTACTAAGGTACCCAACAGTCAAGTAAGAACATTTCAGACATTTGTTGTTTCCAACAGACGCGTCGCTGAATGATCCACCACGACTTAGCCAAGGGAATGTCAGCAAGGTGGCAAGACCTGCGGATTAATGACCATGAAGTCTGAATACATTTGACTCTCTGCTCCCCAAATCTCTGGGGTTCCTTTTTTGTCTGTTTGCTTTTGGTGCAATCCATTTATGACACTTGTGTAGGTTATAAAACATACATGAACAAAAATCACCCAACGGGCCTTAAAAAGAAGCTCCACAAACTGCAGACAGGTGGCTGGCTCCGCAGGAGCCGCCCTCTCCGCCCGGCGCGCCCTGGACCCTCCGCCACACCTCACCCTCCCAATCCTCATCCCGCCCCAGCCCTGTCACCCCCCAAGTCCTTCACCCCGCCCCTCCGTCCCCAAGTCCCTCACCGGCACCGCTGACTCCAGGTCAGTTCCAGGTCCATCCCTAGGTCCCTCATCCCGCCCCACTGTCCCCAGGTCCCTCACGGCGCTCCGCCGTCCCCAGGTCAGCCCCAAATTAACCCCCAGGTCCTTCACCACGCCCCGCCGTCCCCAGATCCCTCACCGCGCCCCGCCGCCCCAGCCCGGCTCCTAGGCCCAGGAACCGCTACTCGTGCGCGCGAACGAAGGGTCAGAGGGGCGCAGGCGCGTCTCGGGGTCGCGACTGCCTCAAAGCCTCGTGGCCGCCTTACCTCAGCGGCCGCCGGCGCCCACCAGGCTATGGCCCGCGCGCCTCGCAATGCCTCACGGGAGCGCCGAGAGGAGGAAGCCGGGAAGAGGGCGCGGAGCAGTCTGCGCAGGCGTGGTGCCACAGTGAGAGGAGCCAGCGAGGCTTGGGGCGGAGCCGAGAGGGCCTCGCCCCGGACCAGGCGGCCCCTGAAGGGCAAGATGATTGGCTATGCTGCAGAAGGCCCGCCCCCACCCGCTCCGCCCCAGGGCCGCGTTGGGAGGCCCGCTCGGCCCTTAACTCCTTAGCCTCCGCCCGCGGCGCCCCCTGGCGAACCGTCCTCAGGTCCATTTTACGAGTTCTACGCTCCGTACCCCGAATGCCAACGCTGTCACGTCACTTCTAGGGAACAGAAAGACTGGGCCCGCCGGGCCCGCCGACTCAGCCTGTGGCTCCCCTGCGGCGTAATCCGGCAGGACGCCAGAAATGAGGCTCGCCAGAGGACCGAGGCCCCGGTCCAGTCGGAACCGCGCCTGGCACGTTTGAAGGGCCAGCGAGTATTGTCTGAAGACTCCTTTACGATGACATGATTTTGAAAAACACTAAACTCCCAAGCCCTCACCTAACATCTAATCAAAAGCTGACTTCCCCCACAATGCCATATGAGAACATCCAAAATATAACCCACGTAAGCACGGAGTTGGGTGTCAAGGATGTACGGAGCTCAGCGAGGACAGAACCTCTTTCCGAAGCGGATGCCAGAAACACAGGCGGTCAATGAAAGAATGCTGAAATAAACTGCTTGCTAAATTTGATGTAAATCTGGTGGGTGCCCTACAGTGACACGGGACCTTCCAGGGTTATCATTCGTATTGGCCAGAATGCATTTGTATGGGGCAGAATTTGTGCATCTTTACCAAAACTCATTTGCAAAGTTAACTTTGCAAAACTCTTCCCTAAGTTAACTTCTGCATTTGCAAGGTGTAGGCTTTGGTTGTTAGAGAATAGTCGGTACTATCGCAGCGACATACGATTCTAAGGTGGCTTCTTAAACAATGGTCTAGTCCAATGTGACTAGGTAGAAGTCATTCTGGATCATTTTTCTTAATGTTTTTAAGGAGTTAAAAAATATATATATGTTCCTAGACAGATGAACCCAACTCGAGTCAAGATACCTGCTGTTAATTCTTAACTTGTTTTACTTTTTAATCCTCTTTTAAAAGTTAATAAAGCCTAAAATGATCTAAAACAAACAAACATTACAGGGGGTAAATTCATGGAATGCTGCCCAGTCGGTGAGCAGGGAAACCAGGGGGCAGTTCCAGGAGGACCCCTGCCACCTGTCTGGAGGTGGGTGCAGGAGAGAACCGGTTGAGTGGGTTTGGCCAGAGGAAATGCAGGCGGTACTGACAAGAAATTTTGCTGAGGAGGCAAAGACTGAGGGAGAGGGAGGGACAAGCAAATGACAAAGATGAGGGGGTGGGAAGAAGGGTGAGGGGAGGAGTTTTGGTTTTGTTTTGTTTTAAAATGGGAGGAACTTGGGGGATATTTATAGCATGTGAAGAGGAATGCAGAAGAGACTAAAGATGCAGAAAGACAGGGGCTGCTTACTGATCCCCAGGAGCAAGGGGGTGCAATCCTAAACCCTGAGTGACTCCTGGGGGATTTCCTGGATCCAGAAACTCTCCATCTGATTTTGAGTTGCTGGACACAGTTATTTGTTTGAAGGGTTATGTGGGACTGTAAAAATTATATCAGCATCAGCCCTCAGAGTACAAAAAACAAATACAAGAGGGTTAACTATACAGACCCGGAAAGGTTTCCTAGGGTTATATTTGAAATTTAAGAAAGCAAATATTTCCAAGGCAAGCTCTCTTTCTTCCAATCAAAATTAGTTGGGATTTGAATGGTGCCAAAAGTAGAGGGGACCCAGGAATTAATTCTCCCTGAGTAAGCCCAGGAGAATATAATGGACTAACTAGACCTAAATGCAGGGCTGTGAGGACTAGTGTTTTTGCTTATTTGCCTTTTCTCTTTCCTAGTGAAAACTTACTTTTTTCCTATCAATATTAAAAACCATCTAAGGTTTTGGGCAATGTTTTTTTTTGTTGTTGTTGTTGTTTTGTTTTGTTTTTTGTTTTTTGGATTGTTTTAAACTTTGCAAGTAATAATGCCCTGTTCACCATTGTTTTCAGTGGAGGTGGTGTGAATCTGTTCTCCAAGCAATGGGGAAGGAGCATTTTTTAAGCTGGGGAGTGACATTCTCAGACAAACGTTAAAAGCTTTATTCTGCAGTAACAGAAGTGGCAAAAGATGGAGGGGCGAACTGGCACAAGGAAACAGGGGATTGTGGAAGAGCAGAGGGAGCTGGCAGACCCCTGGAGGCCTATGAGCTTAGTCTGGAAGATTGCCATAATATGACATTTCTTCTTATTCTTCCTATTAAGAAGAAAGCAGGGCTGGGGATGTGGCTCAAGCGGTAGCGCGCTCGCCTGGCATGCGTGCGGCCCGGGTTCGATCCTCAGCACCACATACCAACAAAGATGTTGTGTCCGCCGAGAACTAAAAAATATTAAAAATTCTCTCTCTCTCTCTCTCTTTAAAAAAAAAAAAGAAGAAAGCAGAAGACCTTGTTTAGACCATGGAGGTTGGAGGAGGGTGAAGGAAGAATGAGTTTGTTTTCCATCATGCTGGCATTCATGTGATGAAGGTGAAAACTCAGGACTGCGTTCTGGTCAGCACCACCAGGAAGGAGGCCACCACAGTGGCTGGTGGAGGGGCCTTGGAGCCAGGAGGAGTGGGGCCAAGAGGGCTGGTGGATCAGAGGAGATTGGGGCAGGCTAAGGGGGCTAAAGGCAGTGAGGAAAGGGGCTGAGAGCCACTGCAGCTCCCCAGGTGAGCCACATAACCCATTCCCTTGCTGGAAAGATCCCTGTGAGGCCAGTGTCCTGTGCTGCCTGGCAAAAGGGACTGGCAAAGGGGGAAGGAGCAATTAGCCCAGATCAGACCAACACCTAATTTATATATCACAGTCCCAGCAAAAATGTGTTGGGAAGAGACACAGAGGGCTCAGGGGCCACTCCACAGAGCAGACCTGGCCCGAGCTGTCATGGAGACAGAGAGGGCAAGAGGCAGGGCAAGGGGCTGGGTCAAGGTGAAAGACAGGACAGAGCAGGTGTGTGGGTTCAATCCCAGGGGAGGAATGCCAGAGGAGGACTGTAGGAAGGTGAGCTGCAGGGCCAGCTTGGAGTCACTCTGACAGCCAAGAAGAGAGGAGGAGAGGGTGGGGATGCAGGCAGGCGTCTCGCAGGTGCTGGTATAATCCAAGCGATATGAAGGAGGTATATAGAGATGAATGTATGTGGTGGAGGGATCTGGAGGGCTGGGAGCGGCAGGGCAGGCCGCGATGCTCTGGCTAGTTGAACTGCAGAAGGGATGCTTTCCCTGAGCCTCTGCTTCCCACCTGTGAGATATAATCAGCATGACTACACCAGGTGCTATTATACAGAGTGCTTCACACAGTCCCAGCACTCTTTACCCCCAGCAGGAACTGGTAGTGAAGATTCTAATACATAATAATATTTGGAATTCAAGTGTCTACATTTACATCAACACCCCAATCCCTCCAGTTCTTGAGGCCCAGTTGTGTTCCCAGCAGGAACTCCCTTCTTTTCTAGGAGTGCCCCCACTAACTGCCTCTGGGGCCCCCCCGGAGGGAGGCTCAAGAGGATTCAAGAATCCAGAGTTCACTGCTACCTGCTGGGGAAAGGGATAGGACTCAGACTCACCAGAGGACCCCTCAGCTTCTCTCACAGGGCCACCCCAAAATCTGCCAGTAGGTCTCATTAGCCCATCTCCAGTGGGCCCTGCCATAGATCCAGTGTTGACCCCAAGCTTTCAGGAGATCCCTGTCTGGCCTCCTGGCTGCACATCTTCCCCCCACTATCCTTGCAAGGCAGGAGAGCAGGTGCACTCTTCTCTCAGGGTAGCTGGGCTTTCAGAGGATCAGGGATCTCCTCTCCTAGGGGGGCTCCCTCCAACAGGTCAGAGGCTCCCTGTAGGGCAGCAAGCAGTCAGGGTCACTGTGGCTGGTCCTCCCCACTGCACAGGGTCTCACAGACTTACAGGTGCTCCCTCGAAGGCACAGCAGGAGCCTGGTTCCCCATGCTTACCACCAGCACCAGAGGACAGGTGTCCACACCCCACCTCCATATGGTAGGTCCTGAGAGCAGGCAGCAGAGGACATGCCTAGGTCGTTCTGGGGACACTGGGGGCAGGACAAGGGTAGGGTTCTCAGGCACAGTCCTGCACAGCTTTTGTGCAAAGAAGACAACTGGCAGGCACAGAGACCCCTAAGGAGTGAGCTGTCCTGGCCCCTGGCAGTGCCCCAGTCCCAGGGCTAGGGCAAAGCCTGAAAGTCAACACAAGCACCTGTTGGCCTACAGGTGAGCACATGCTGGTGGGGGTCAACCCCACCTTTCATTCAACTCCAGGTCTAACAGTGGGGTCCCAAGAGTGGCTGGCAAGTGGGGTCTGTCAGGCTTCCCAGACAGCAGAGGCTAAGGACAGGACAGCAAGGGCTGATCCCCAAGGGCCTGGATGACGAAGGTGCCCTCAAGCTCAGGCCTCCTAGTTGAAGGCTGCAGGGAAGAGAGCAAAGCAGGGCAATGGAAAGAACTGGAAGCCAGAGGGTGAGGTATAAAAATCTGTATTTATATTACAATGACAGAATGACACAGCACAGCCCCACCTGGAGGACAGGTGGGTGGGGCCCCTTTCATTCTCCAGCTGAACCAGCACCAGGCCCCCTAAATGGCCCCAGACTCTGGCACGGAACCTGCCCTAGTGCCCTGGATGGGGCCAAGGCTACTGACCCTCTGTGCAGGCAGTATGGGGTGGGTAAGTCCCAGGTCTCTCTGACCCAGAGAGAGACTGCATGGTTGGGGCAGACAGGAGAGCAAAGGGTGGAGCCCTCAGGTCATAGCTTGGTGCATGGTCCATCACCCAGGAACACAAGTTCAAAGACCTTGCCATCACATCACCACCAGGATGAGTTGAAGAAACAGCCTCTCCTCCCAGGCCAGCTAGGCCTGAAGCAGGACGGAAGGGCATGGTATGAGTGGGATGCCTCCTAGGGAGATGGGGACCCAAGCCTGAGCCAAGGGTTCTAGACTCTCAGCCACGGAGCATGAGGCCCACGTGGATGTGGGTGTAGGTGGGCAAAGATGGAGGATGGAGGATGTGGACTGTGGCTGTTGTCCCAATTTCCTTCTGCAGACACTACAGTGGTCCTAATGGTCCATGTGGCCACCAGTAACATCCAATCTGGGCAAATGGCAGGGAGCAGGGAAGGGAGGAATGGATATGGAACTCTTAGCACCAGCCCCCACCCCTGTGGACTACCCCTCACATCCTGCTGGTGGCAGTGAGGAGCAGATGGAGAGTACCCCTAGGTGGCTGATGAGCCCAACTTCCAAGTCCACATGGGACTGGGCACAGGCTGAGCTGCCAAGAAGGCCAGCCAAGGGGCCACTCTGGTCACCTGGGCTGGATTCTGGTAGGCAGAGGTGGGAGCAGAACCCCAGGTTTTGGAGATGGAGCAGAGTTGATAGTTTAAGAATTCAGGGAACATCAGGAGACTTTGGAGTTCTGGATCCTGAACCAGGCCCTGAAACATGGACTCCTGCTCTGCTCTGAGGGGAGAGGAGCTAGAAAGCTCAGTGGATATGCCTGACAGACAGGAGAAGCCCCAGTGGGCTGAAGACACAGTCAGAACACCCAGGAAGACATCTGGACGGCCCCCATCCCTGCTCCACAGGGTCCCCACCCACAGGCCTGTTCTCTGGCGCCATCCTGAGCCCCTGAAGGGGAGGTTCCGTGCCACAGGTATTTCCCTGGACTCTGAGGGTGTTCACTGACATGATAGAAGAGAAATTGAATTTCCTTTCATGATTTGGAAACTTGGTTACAAATGCACCAGAGGTGGTGGCAGGTGCTGCTATAGGTCAGCCCCACAGCCACCACCCAAGTATTGCTGTGTGATCCCCTGGGGGACAAGGACTTCAGGACTGAAATCCAGCAGAAGCCCCCTAGCCAGGCCCCCACCTCCAGAGCAAACACTTCATTAGCTGCCAACCTGGCACCTGGAGCCCTCACCCCAGGCCCAGAAGCAGGCAGGTTGAGGCAGGTTGCAGATTCATAACATAGTGGGCCCCAGCCAACCAGGAAGGTAACACTGGGAGCCTGGTCACAGCCCTCCTGCAGGGGAGGAAAAGTGGCCATGCTGCCTACGCAGCACAGGCACCTCATTCCAAGGAAGCCTTGGCCTCTGGGAGGAGCTGTCCATGGGGAGGAGGAAGGAGGCACCTGCTTGGCAGGCTTGAGGCATCCTTTGAGTCACAGGGAACATGCTGCTGGTGGTGGGCAGGTCAAGACGGGACACAAGGCACACAATGACAACGTGACAGAGGATGGGTCCCTGAGACACTGGGTCACTCCCACCCCTCAGCATACAAGGACGCAACAATGGCTAGGAAAATAGAATACAAAAATCTTGTACAGGAAATAGAGGCTGCACACACGTCCCTTGGTGAGGGTTTTTAGAGCTTTTTTTTTTTTTTCTCTTTTTAAAAATGTTTCTCTGTTTTGCATTTGGGGAAAGCCTCTGCCAGCTGAGGCTGCGATGGGCAGAACTTCTAAGCTCCCCTTGAATGGAGCTCCTGTCACACTGTGGCCTTGCTGGTTTTGTTTTGTTTGACTTTTCATAAGAAAGGAAGATGAGAAAGCCCAGAGGACTTGGTTCAGCTTGCCGCCACAGCTCATCCCAGCCCTGCACAAGGAAAAGCTCTGCTTCCCGTGCAGAGCAGGCAGAGCCACCTGGGCTGGCACAGGTGGGCTGATACAGGTGAGCTGGCGGTGGCCACACAGAGACAAAGTCAGGCACAGGCCAGGGACCAGCATTTGCCTAGGTGGCCCCCAAAGGCCAGCCTTCCTCCAGTGCACGCATATGTGCGTATGGGCTAGTGTGTGTGTGCATTGGAAGGTCTCGACAGAGCAGACACTGCCCAGCTTGATGTGGACTGGCTCAGCCTGCCACCACAAGTCCATCCCTGGCTCCTGACGCCCATGGATGGGAAGGCCCCTCTCTGCCTACCTGCCCAGGGTGCTCACCCAGTCCCGCCCTTTACGCTTTCTCTATCCAAGCCTCAGGAGCCTGTATGGACCAACCGACAAGTGGACAGACAGACAGTTGCACCTTCCTTCCTTCCTCAGTTCACTCCTCTCTCCTGGGGTCCGGTGCTGGGGTCTGAGCTCCCTGAGGTGGTCATTAAGCCCCTTACACGGTGCCCGCCGAGGTTTGCAGCAATGACATTTAATACTTCTGGAATGATTAGGAATCTGAGAGCAGACCGTGGGTGGCAACACTGGGCTCCAGGTCATGGGAGCCGGGCCCTGCCTCCCTGCAAGGGGCCCTGACCAGTGGGGAAGGGAGGGTGGGCGGGCGGGCGGCTCAGGCCCTGACCAGCAGGCAGCAGGCAGAGGCGGGCAGCCCAGGCAGCAGCTGGAGCTTCCAGAATGGCACAGCAGTGGCCCAGGGAGAGGCTGCATCGGTCAAGGGAGAACTGAGGCTGACACGCTGACCAGGCAGGCGGGCGGCAGGGGCCAAGCAGCAGAGTGTGCGGGGCCTATGAGAGGCTGGGGCGGCCAGGCCGCCGGCAGGGGCGCCCATAGCCACCATCACTGCAGCCACCGCTCTGCAGGCTGTAGTGGTCATCGGCGTCACTGCTGCTGCCAACACTGTCCAGCTCACCAGGGCCAAATTCCATGCCCTCTATGTCCACCTCTGGGGAGAACAGAGAGGGCTGGGTCAGGCACTCCAAGAAAACTAGCATGAGGAAACAAGTAAGGGCCCATCTCTCCCTGTACAGAAGGGGAGACTCTGGGGGTGGGTGCAGAGGAAGGAGAGGAGGGGGACCTGTCTGGGCCCTGAGGGATGACTCCAGGCTGCAGCTCCTGTTAAGAACCCAGCCGGACTCTGGCCCTTACATGGCCAGGGCACTGGCCTCTGGCTTCACCCTCTCCTCCTGTCCCTCCTGCACACCAAGGTGAGGCATGAAAATGCTGCTGTAAGCGGGTGCAGAGGGTGAGGGGCCTTGTCCTTACTGGGCATCACCCCACTCCACCCCCACCCCAGGCTCCTTTTCACCAGAAGCTGAAGAACGCCTGTGCCCAGAGGCCTGGATCAGGCTGTCCCGGGCCCACCTTGCTCTGAGTCGTCTGTGGAGACGGCGGAGCCAGTGCTGTCCGTGCGCACGCGCTCCATGCTCTGCACAGACAGCTGCTCCAGGCGCCGCTTCAGGAAGCGGTGCTCCCGCTGCAGCTGCTCCTTGATGCTCAGCGCCCTTCGGTCCTGCTCCTCCAGTTTCTGAGGGGTGGGGCACTGTGAGCCTGTGGCCAGGAGGGGGCATCCCCTCGTGGGTGCAGAGGCACAGAGGTCTGGATAGGTCAGATTCTCACCCCAACATGGCCCAACCAGGCTGGGGCTACAGGGTGCCCAGCCCACTGGCCCCCATGGTCTGATGTGCCCCTTCTCACCCCAGCCAGGTGGCCCCACACACTCCAGCCTGGCCCTGGGCTCTCCACCTGCAGTCCAACTGCAGAATGCCAACAGCCACCAGCCAGCTGTGACAGCACCACCCAGCCTCCTCCTGGAGGACAACCCCGCCCACAGCAGTCCCGCCTGCCCTTAGGCTTTGGCACAGACCACACCTGCACCCACAGCATCAGTGCCCAATCTCTCAACCTTCCTTGGACCTAGACACTGCTTGCTCTGAGGGCTCCCCCCCCCCCGCCAAATCCCTGCTGCGCCCCCTCAAAGCTCCTGCCAGCCCTACCTGGAGTACCTATGCCTGTGAAGCAGAAGCCCTCCAAAGGGACAGAAATAAGCTATGGTTGGCCCAGACGTCCTAAGATCCCCAAAGCAGCAGGTCTCAATCTAAAAGCCTTGTTGGGCTACTCCAAATAATGGCTCCTGAGAGTAAATCCCACCTTCTCCTGACACCCAAGGGGCTTAGAAGTAGCCCTCTCTAGGAAGACATGAAAGAATCCCTGCCCCTCCTGGCCCCACATCTCCTTCCAGTTGCTGCCCCTTCACAGAGGCCTTGGAGAGCCCAACTCTACCCCAGCCAGCCACTACATGGTTTCCCTCCCGATCACCACCAACAAAACCCAACAGAAGCCATGTGACTTCCTCTACCCCAGAAGCTTCTGTCTATCTTCCCTAAAACAAACAAACAAACAGAAACCCAAGCCGCTGATGTGTACCTGCTGGACAGTGCCCCCCCCACCTCCAGGACCTCTGGTCAAAGGGCTGCCCAGGACATACAGGGATGGGCTAGGGGTAGCAGGGGTAGCCAGGCAGCCAGAGAGGGTGGAGGGCATGGGCTGCTCACCTTGATGTGCATCTTGGCACGCTTCAAGAGGCTCAGCGTGGTGTGACGAGTGCTGTCAGGGCCCAGGGGCACCAGCTGCTTGAGCTGCTCCAAGTAGAGCCTGAGCTTAGCTCGTCTGAAAGAGCCAGAGACAGGATCATCAGGCCAGGTGGCAAAGCCCAGGGGGAAGAGGGAATGGGGGAGGGAATGTGGGGGTACAGCTGGGCTCTCTGGGACCCCTGTGAAGGGACAGCAGGTAGGAGAGATCTGGGTGAGGGTGGGTGGTGACCAGCTGGGTCCCTGCACAGTACCCCACCCTGCTGCAGATCTGGCTGCCATCTCCCCCCAGAAGCAGCCAGGCACATGGGGCCATCTGCATATGGATGTTCACATGGCCCTGCACGTGGCCTAAGAGCCCTATTCTGCACTCAGAGATCCAGGGGACTCGGACAACATTCACATCCCCACCTCAGCACCACAATATGCTCTCCGATCATTCTGTCCTCACAGGAACATGAGCCACGTCAAGGGAGGGTTGAGGAGGAGCCCCCTGCCCAGATTTGTATTCCCTTTGGACACCTCCTTATTCCAGTCTGTCCCCACACTCACACGGGTGGACCATTCTCAGGCACTTGTTCTTATGTTCATATGCACCAATTCCCTGCAGAATCGCTGCCTTTCCTGGCTGGTCAGGGGCCTGCTGGTCTGGGAGGGGCCTTCTCTCTGACACCACCATGATGGCCCATGACCTCAGTGACGTCTGCATGCAACCACCCAAGTGGAACTGGTGGTTTTAGCTGAGAGATGCTCAGTAACAGATCTGCTTAGCCCTTGCTGTGGTTGAGGCTGCTTCCAAATCCAGTATGCTTTGCTTAGGATCATTCTAAGGAGTGGAGCTGCCAGGTCAAGGTGTAGACAACCTGAAGCCCACCTGTGGCAGCCAACACCCTCTCCTCTCTGATCTATGCCAGTGGTCCCCATTGTCTCATGTCTGCTCCCTAGTAGCAGAGCCCTAACAAATGCATTCTCCTTCAGTCCTAGAGAGACCCTGGAGGACAGTGGATCTCCTTGGACAGAGGAGGACCCCAAGGCCCAGAGGAGGAGGGGCTGCCAGGTATAGGGAAAGGCTACAGAGAAGAGACAACATCTCCCTATGCTGCAGGAGATGGGTTGCCGTCTGAGGCCACTAAGCCTGTCACCCATATAGCACTCTGCATTGACAAATGATGTCACCTGATGCTCCAGCCATCCTCCGGGGCTTAGAGGTTATTCTGGGTGAAGAACCTCCAGGAATAACTTCCAGGATACAGGTCTGTGCCTGCACGTGGTGAGCAGGTGGAAGGGTGAACAGGGCGAGCAAGCCCTAGACTGCCTCAAGGCTGGAGATTCCTCTAGCCCCAGCACAGGGAAGAGGGCACACAGGTGGGCTTCGGGATCCAGACTTCTGCTGCACTGGGCCTGGAGTGCCCAGAACCTCAGCCTCCCCACCTGTCCTGGGGCAAGTGCCCCTCTCCAAAAACTGAAAGGGAAGGAGGCCTGGAGCTGGATGATGAGCAGAGCCTCTGCTCAGGGGAGGGGTCTCTTCCCAAGGCAGGTTCTCACTGTCCTGCAGCTACCAATGGGACTGTTCACAAGTGGGGACACTGCCAGGGATCCTCTTCCCCAATCTGTCAGTCATATGCCACCATTTAACTATATTAGCAGTATGTGACCTTTATGGAAAAATTAGAAAATTACCAAAAAAAAAAAAATATCCCCCAATTCCACCACCCAGAGACAATCACATTATGATTTTAGTGTAGCTACACTTTCATATCATGAATGTTCAGTAAAAAAGTTAGGGTACAGAACCACATATGTGACAAGTGACCCAATTTTGTTTAAAAAATAAAACAGAGAACGCACACAAGAGACTCAACCAAACACAATGAAGCACAGGAAGCAAGCGTCTCCAGGGATGTGGCTGGCAATGTTTATTTCTTTAGCTTTATGCTTTTCTATATTTTCCAGGTTTTCTATGCTAAAAAAATCCCACGTATTACTATTACAATCAGAGAAAGACACATTTGTACAAGAAAGAAAAAACACAGCTAAAAGACAAATAACAGTAGAAAAATGTTTGCAGTACATATAAAGACAAACGGTCAGTATTCGTGGTATTCCGAGCTCATACACATCAAAAATAAGGAGGAACACTTCAATGTGACAACAGGCAAAGGACACAAACAGGCAATTTGCAGAGTATGAAGGGCAAACCTGACATAAAAACTGGTTTTATCTCACAGTGATTAAGGAAAACTCAAATGAGCAGACATTCATGTCCCCTTTACAGTAGCTGATGTGCAAAGAGTGGCTGGCACTTGCCTGACCAGGCGTGGAGACCTGTCAGTTTGCTGTGGGAGAAGGGCCATAGCATAATTATCAAAGTCACTACTGATCCATGCTTCTGTTCCTAGGATTTCTGACCTACAAAACCTTCCCCGCAAAAGGGCCACACTCAGCCTCTGCTTTGTGTAGAAAACCCTGGAATCTTGGCTGCAGGTGCTGCAAAGGCTTCAGGACAGGGAGGGTGCATGGACACACGTAGGAAGCACTTATGTGGTATTAGGTGAGAAATCCAACCAGAATAGTGGACAGCAAGGTCCCCTTCTCATCCCAGGGCCTCCAAGTGCCTGGAATGCCATCTCTGGGGGTAGGGTACAGGAATATATGAAGAGACTCGAGAAACAAAGCAAGGCCACCTGACCACACATGTGCAGTGTTTAAAACTGCAGCATGTCCACCCAAACCCAGGAAGCACACAGCCCGGGTTGCCCTGGCTCCCTGCCCTGTACAGTGACTGCGATGGGCTGCCGGGGGCCAGGGTCTGGAATTATCTCTGCCAATGGCCAGTGGTGGGGTGCTGGAAAGGTCCCTACCCTTCTGAGCCCCTGGCCCCACAGCTGGGGCTACACTAGGTTCTTACCAAACTCTCCTCCCTGAAGTCACTGCAGTACCCCAGGCCTTCTGCCAGCAGCTGTCACCAAGCATTCCAAGCAGCTTTTAAGACCCAGCACTTCTAAAGGAGCCCAGCACAGATCTAGGAGGTTGCCTGCCCGTGGGACTCCTGCTCTGACATCAATAGCATCCCCACCTCCACCACAGTGCAGCCTACCACATGGTCCCGCCCAGCCTTTCACTGAAAATCCCCACTCCTCAGAGGACCCAGAGCTCTTGGAGGGTTTGGCTGCAGGCCAGGGTCCCCCAGACCTGAGAAGAGAGTGCTGGCTAGCTGACAGAGTCACACTCTGAACCAGGCAGGGACAGGCTGCTGGAGAGGAGGCAGCCAGGAAGTCCAAGAGACAGGAGGACAGGGACATGGGGAACCATCACCCTCCCTCCTCCTGTTTACCTGCATCTTCTAGCTATTCTAACAAACACACTCCCCGTGTGGTTCCACAAGGCTGCATCAGGAGCCTGGGGGCAGCCCTCGGGGCAGGCCCTGCCAGGGAAAGTCTAGCCTGGACAACCATCTCTATGCTTAAAGTGGAGCAGGGGCCAAATGAGCAGTGAGGTCTGGCCTTTACGGTGTGCACTGCCACCCCAGGGGGTACTAAGGATAAGGAAGGTCAGCCAGGGCTCCCTCCCATATACCCACTAAGGCCAAAGGCTGGAGCTAGGCCCGTGAGGATTACCAGACCCCTGGGGTCAGTTAGCCTTGGCAGACCTTCCAGAACTGCTTACATACAAGGGTGCTTAGGGCAGGCCTAGGGTTGACTGGGCTCAGCTCAAGCACCACGAGGGAGAAGCCCCACAGGCCTAACCCAGACCCCCAAGAGGGACACCTCCAAGAAAGAGTGTCCAGGGCCTCCGTCCCTGAAGCCAGCCAAGCAGAGGAGCCTGATGCTTGCTTGCTTGCTTGCTTGCTTGCTTGCTTGCTTGCTTCCTTCCTTCCTTCCTTCCTCTGGAGAGCACATAGCCTTTCCTTCAGCCAACAGCCAGGAGCAGTGAGCATCCAGCACCAGCACAAGGCTAGCCATGGGCACAGCCAAGGCCAAAGTTTCTTCAGGGCTCCCAGCTCCAGCTTGTAGGCTGTTCAGGATGTCCACACCTGTGCCTTGGCCAACCAGAAACAGAAACCCCTGCACTGGGTTGTGGGGACATAGAGAGATTCCTAGGCTCCCCACCTACCCCTCGATCTCAAAAGGTTCCTTGAGCTCCATTAAGCATGAGCTCTAGGAGGAGCTGGCAGAGACCAAGAGGCAGCTGCAGGGTCTGAGGCCATTGCTTGCTCTCCACCACAGGCTACCCTGCCTTGCCACCTGCCCTCCTTCAGTGGTACCTCCTGAAAGCTGCTCTCCCAAATGCCACCTCCAGGAAGCTCTTCCCAGAGTATCCCCACTGTGGCCTGCCCCATCCCAGACTGTGGGTCCGGGTCAAGCCTGGTTGGGTCTCCTAGGGCCTGGAAGCAGCCCTAGGCTGGCTCCACATCAGCACCCCCCATGGAACCCCCCAAACAGAGATGACCAGTGCAGGAAGTCCATCTCCTCAGGGAACAGGGTGTTCTGCCCCTGCCCAGCAGCCCGCCCCAGCTAGAGGCCTAACTCCCAGGGCAGCGGAAGTTGGCGGTGCTGAGGGTGCAGACATGGGGGAGGGAGAGGCGGGGACCTGGCTGAACTTCAGACCTTCCCAGTACATCCAGGAGGGCTCAATTCTGATGCAGACCCACCCACTCACCAGGAAGGGAACAAAGAATAGACCCATTTCACAGATGAGAGCAAAGATAATGAGAGAGGTATCCCCCAGTGTCCCTCAGGAGGGGGCTTCTGTCTTTGAGACTTCCTGGCCCAGCATGCCTCTGCATTCACCCAGAGTTCCCACAGCAGCTGAAAAGGCCCCTGGCTCACACCTATCCCAACTAACAGAGGGGCATCTGAAGCTAGAGCTGCTTCAGGTGGGATACCTGTGCCAGGGCCCTGCTGCCTGACTGGGGCTAGAGTGCAGGGAGGTGGCCCAGGCCAGCTGCACTTATGCTGCCCCTACGACAAGACTCCAGCACAGGCCCCAGAAGGCACTGAGGCAAAAGGCATGGAACTGGGGGATAAGGGGTCAGATCATGGTGGTGGGACCCACTATTGAGGTCATGACACCAAGGCTGAAGTGTTGCTCCCAGAGGGGCTCAGAAGCATACCCATTTGCCTCCTCCAGGGAGCCATCCCTGATTGACACCAGCACAGGGCCTTTTCCAAGTCCCTGGTCCCCACCTGGCCCTGGCCCCAGGCTGAACACTCCAAAGCTGGGCCCCCACCCCTGCCTGCCAGCCTGAGAGTGCCTGAGAACAAACCTTGGCCCCCTCCTTCAAGACTGACCCTTTCTATACTGAGGGCACAGCCTGGCAGCACTGGCAGCCCTCCTAGGACTGTGAGGTCAGCTGCGGCGTCCCCTCAGCAGAAGGGACAGGCCTATCAGGAGGCTTGAATAGAAACTGATGAGGGCAAGTGTCACTTACCTGTGCTTTTCTAGTTCGTTGTGTGAAGACCTGTTTAGAGAAACAGAAAGATAGGGCTCACTCTGAGGCCTGACCACCAGAGCAAAACAACAATGGCTCTTCTAGGGGAGGGGCTTGGAGCCCACAGAGAGTAACAGGGCAGATCTGGGCCCCAGGAGGCCCACAGATGGTAAGGGCTGGGGTAAATGCAACAGCTGCCATCCAAGTGCTAAGGAAACCTCACACTGAGCTGCAAGGATGGGGTGAGGGCATGGGGTGGGGGCACACAAAGGAAGCAAAGAGGTGTGCACAGATTGGGGGGGCCCAGAGCCACCAGGCTCACCTATGAGGCTTGGTGGGATCGTGGTTGGCAGGAGGACGCAGAACCTCTTCCAGATGTGTAGAGGCCCAGGCAGCACAGCTACTGTACTTAACCATCCGCCTTTTCTGTTCCCCGTACTCCAAGACCAGGTGTGTCTTTGCAACCAACAAGGACCACAAAGAGGGCTAATATGCTGAGCATGGAGCACAGAAGTCAGGTCCTCAGGAGATGAGGTGGCCATATACCATGGCTACCATGTCAGGCTCACACATACTACCACACAGATGAGAATAACCAAGACAAGTAGTCCTAGCGAGGTCAGGCCACGAGGGGGTGTCTGAGGCTTTGATGTTTCCTGGGTCACTGCATGCAGGGAATACCAAGGCTGGTGGATCTCCCACTTCCTTCACAGGCCATGTTCTGGCAGGATTAGCTACTCTGCGCCCAAGCTTAGCTTCCCTGGGAACAGCAGCCCTGCCAGCTGCTTGAGCCTCACCTATTCTGCCCACTCAGATGGTGCAGAGTCCTGAGCATCACAGGTGCCACTCAGGAAATTTACCCTTCAACTTTCAGTCACCTTCCCAGTCCAGGAGGGACCCACAGGCCAGCCAGGGCTCCCAGGCTTCCCACACAGCTGCACATGTGAACAGAGCGCTCAGGCCATGCAGGTGTATACCTAGACTAAGCCTTGACACACCTGGGGGCTTCTTTGGACACTGCCTGCCTACTTCCACTCCCCTGCTCCAGGAACGTGGATCTGGCATCTCCAATCCTTACCCCTTAGGCTACAGTGCCTGTCCACCCTGCCTTCCTCCACCACCTGCTGCAGCCACCTGGGCACTAGGCCTTCCCTCTTCTCATGGTGCCTGCCAGCTCCTGGGCCTCACTGTTCAACTTCCAGGGTCCTCAAGAACCTGCTACTCACATGGGCTGGGTGAGAACCCTCTGCCAGGACTAGCTGAAGCCAAAGGGGGTATCACTAACCCCTTCACTGGCCTACCAGGGGCTGTCCCTCCGCCCAAACCTCAGCCTGGCCATGTGGTTTGTAGGCATGCTGGCTCATGAGGGAGGCTGAGGTCAGCAGGTGCCCTTCAGTGTAGCGAGGCCCACCACCCACCTGCTCAATTAAAGGATGACCCCACCCTGGAGGCAGAGGGGCACCCTGGAGGCTGAGGCCCTCCTGTGTCCAGAGACCCTTGCAGAGGAGGCCCGTCACACAGGTCTTAGCAGCACTTTCCCTGGGGAGAGGTGGCACTAACCCTGGCTAGAGTTGTGCCAAGTGCTTTCCTGGCACCACCCAGACCTTGTGAGGCATGCATTCTTCTGCTCACCTCACAGAGCCCAACCTGACAAGGTGGCTCCACTGTCTTCCCAGTGAGCCACTGCCTGAGCCTACAGCAGTGACACCCGTTTCTCACCCAGGTCTGTTGTGTCTTGTTCCTGTCCCTCACCTTGGCAGTCATAAAGCCTTACATCAGACCCCAGCTTCTCATCTAGTCTGGCTAAGAACACCCTCAAGGCTGGTGACCCGTAAAGGGGCCATGTCTGTCACCCTTGGCTGCCTCTGGCCCTGGGGGAGTTGGGATCTGCTCAAAGGGGTTGCAGAAGAGGTGCACCCAGGCCAGGGAGACCCTCTCAATCCCTTGCCTGGGTCTCATCCCAGCAGAAGGTGGACCCCACCCAGGAACAGGAGTCACAAAGGTGGGTAAAGGAGGCCCCAGACAAGTAACCAAATGGTTCTATGCACCAGTTTCCTCAGCTGTAAAATGGAGATAAAAATAACATTGCCTTCATGAGGCTGTGTGTGGAGGAAGCATTCAGTGAGCCTCAGCTAGGATTCTGGTGGTCAGCTTTGGGCATTCCACACTGTGGGAGCTGGAGGTCTCTTCCCAGAGTCTGGACAGCCAGAAGCAGAGGCCTGACTAGCTTACTGTCCAGGTCAGAGGCAGTGGTGCCCCTAACACATTAAAGTCCTTCTGCAAACTGTCTTCAGCAGGGGACTAGATGCTGAGTCTCAGGCAGCTGAGACTCAAACCAATTCCTTGCCAGGCCCAGGACACCACAGAGATGGGCCTGCATGCCAGCCTGTTTCCTAAGAACAGGCAGGCCACAGGAATGAGCTGCACTCTCTGCCAAGAAGCCCAGAAGCCCCTGGCCAGTGCAGTTCCTGGCCTAGTGACACAGGAGTAGGTAGGCCAAGGTAGATCCCTGGACACTTCCAGGTGTGCCAGGCCCCCACAGTAGCTAGGTGCCGGTACCCTGGGGTGCCCTAGCCCATATGCGTGCACTCCAATTTCAGGGTTTCTGCAGTACAAGGCCAAGGGCTGGAGGAAGTAACTGATCCTAAGGAGCCTGCTCCCTCCTTCTACCTCTCCCAAAAGCCTCCTGTCCCAAAGAAGGGGATCCCTGAACTTGTGTCTAGAGTTTCAGTGTCAGGAGACTGGGTAGGACTGGTGGACACCTGGGAGGGGCCTTTGTCCAGGTTCCTGGGGATAGGGTATTGAGCCAAGAAGCAGGGCCCAGCTCTGAGATGGGATAAGGAGGCCGTCCCTCCGCGCGCAGAACGAAGGGCCCAGCCGTTGAGCCTCAGTGTCCCGGGCCCCAGAGGCACCGGTGGGAGCCCGTTGACAACTTCTCTCCCGCCAGGAAAAGTCC